AGTCCAGCAAGAAATATCCCAACAGCATAGCCATTTCCTTGCTTGTAAAATCCAAAGGCATATAGACCAGAACGTGACAGCCATGTGGAGTTGGTGGTTGGTGTTAAAGAAGAGCCTCGGCTTATATTCGACTGCATCTGTTGTGCTTCAGCAGCAACAAATGCCAAGGCAAGAAGAAGGCATGCCATGCAAGCCATCGAAAAATGATCTCAGTGTGACTTGTCTTCCTCTTTGTTCTTTTTTTTTTTTTTTCCCTTCTGCAGCACTCCAGAAAATTGTTTCCAATGCAGTATGAAGTTCTAATTCTGAATTTCTGTTTAATTTAAGGTGGATGGTGTAAATGAATTCTTACGTGTTTCTTCTCTCTCTGTGGAGTAGTTCACCACCCATATGTAATTTACTTTACCATAAGAAGATTCAAAGGAGAGATACAGTAAGTGCCAGTCCGGTCGAAAGTGATGCAATACCTGTCATGCGTTGACGGAGACTTTTGAGTCCATGTAATTAACCGGCACCTTCTACGGTGCCCCTGGCGTACCGATACACCCAGATTTTTTTTTTTAAATGAAACATGTTGTTAAAGTTGCCGGTTCCAGTTTTTCTACTTTTTTTTGTTGGAGTTCCAAGTTTTCTTAATATTTAGTCTTTGTCTTTTTTTCAAGGTATTTTTTTTGGTCGAAATGTCTTATTTAATTTTAGATAAAGTAATCTTAACCCAACTAAACCAATCAAATTTTAAAACTTTATATAAATCCAATCAACCAAATTGTTTTTTTTTATTAACTTGTAATAAAAAACAATAATAACTACAAATTTGTTGGGTATAAAATAATTATGTTGATTATCCGGAAATTTAAAGAAAACGAAAAGAACTTAAGACAAACAAATAGAACGTCACTGCAACTGTTCACAGTCCCACGGTGTTGTGGTTTTCCTTTTTTTTCACTTTTTAAAAAAAAAAATTAATGTAATATTGAAAATTTTAAAACAATACTTTTATAATGAACAAAACTTTTAATTTTTTTTTTTTTAAACAAGAAACACTTTTTTTTTTTTTTTTTTTGGAACAAAACTTTTACTTTTATACCTAATCCATAATATTGTAAATCCCCATTTTCAAGGATATGAATCCACATTACAAGTAGTTGGTAAGTGTGGACCTTGAAGATGTAAATTAGGTCCTTATTTTAGTAAAGATAAAGTTTACATGATTAAGGGCCGATTTTTACAAAGTTTCGATACGAGGGTACCATAACGTTGGAAAAAAAGATCGATAAGGATGTAAATTAAGTCATTTTCTAGTAAAATGAGGGTTTACAAGATTAAGAACCAATTTTACAATTTTGGGATACGAAGGTACCATAACGTTGTAAGGAGGGTCCATAAACATGTAAGTTACACGATTTGGGTAGTGATTTATAGGTTTTTGCACCACGATTACAACATTAGGATTCTCATAATCCTTAATGTTGTAAATCCTTATGTTACAAGGATATGGATCCACATTACAAAGAATTGGTAAGTGCGGACCATGAGGATGTAAATTAGGTTCTTATTCTAGTAAAATGAGAATTTACAAGATTAAGGGCTGATTTTACAATTTTGGGATACGAGGGTACCATAACGTTGTAAAGAGGATCCATAAATATGTAGGTTACACGATTTGGATAGTGATTTACAAGTTTTTGCACCACGATTACAACATTAGGGTTCTCATAATCCTTAACGTTGTAAATCCTTATTTTACGAGGATATGAATCCAAATTACAAAGAATAGGTAAGTCCGGACCATGAGGATGTAAATTGGAGGCCTTATTCTAGTAAAATGATTACAAGATTAAGGCCCGATTTTACAATTTTGGGATACGAGAGTACCAAAATGTTGTAAAAAAAAAATCCCTAAACTCGAAACTTACAAGTTTTTTCAAGGTTTTGCTCCTAGATTACAACGTTAGGGTTCACCGAATCCATAATATTGTAAATCATTTGTTTACAAGGACATCCACATTATAAGAAATTGGTAATAGTGTACCTTAGCGATGTAAAATGGGTCATTATTCTAGTAAAAAATGATTTACAAGATTAAGGACTAAGGGTACCATAACGTCGTAAAGGGAATCCCTAAACTCATAACTTACAAGTTTTTGGTAACAATTTACAACGTTTTGCTCCTGGATTACAACGTTATTGTTCACCAAATCCATAATGTTGTAATCATCATTTTACAAGGATATGGATCCACATTACAAGGAATTGGTAATGGTGGACCTTTGGGATGTAAAATGGGTCATTATTCTAGTAAGCAATGGTTTACAAAATTAAGGAGCAGGGGTACCTTAACGTCATAAAGAGAATCCCTAAACTCGTAACTTACATGTTTTTGGTACCAATTTACAAGATTTTGCAATGGTCAGGACTTGAAATTTACAAAACGTGGCCTTTGTTCTAGTAAACACAAAATTTTACAACAGTCAGGACGGATGTTACAATGTTTTGATATAATAATACCATAACGTCGTAAATTGGATCCCTAAACTTGTAAGTTATAAGATTGTACTTAAAATGCAATTGCATATCGGTATGCAATTAGATGCTCCCTGGTTGTCAATTACACGCTCCTTGTTTGTCAAGTACTCAAATAATATTGTAATAGTCTAATTTACAATGAAAATGATGTCAATGACAATATTAAGGTTTGGTTTGACCTTAGACAAGTAAAATTGTTCATTATTCTTGTAAAAACTAGAATTTACAATATTATGACTCATGTTATTGTTTTTGGGACCTTAAAGTTCCATAAGATTGTAAAGGTTATCCCTAAGCTTGTAAAAATAATGGTTTACAACCTTAAGGAATCATATTAAAATGTTTGGCACATGAGAGTTCTCTAACATTTTAAATTTGATCCATAATCTTGTAATAACAGAGGTTTACAACATTAAGGACTCGGTTTACAGTTTTTGGGACCTTAGGGTTCCATATAATTGTAAAAGTTATCCCTAAGCTTGTAAAAACAATGGTTTACAACCTCAAGGAATCATATTAAAATGTTTGGCACATGAGAGTTCTCTAAGATTTTAAATTTTATCCATAATCTTGTAATAACATGGGTTACAATATCAAGGACTTATATTACAATGTTTGGCACCTAAATGTTCTGTCACATTGTAAAGTCTATCCTTGATATTGTAGATTACAAGATTTGGGTTCGAATTTATGAGCTTTTATACCGTAATTATAAGAATAAGATTTACTCTAATCCATAATAGTGTAATAACCTAATTTACAATGAAAATGATGTCGATTACAACATTAAGGTTTGGTTGGACCTTAAAAAAGTAAAATTGTTCTTAGTTTTTGTAAAAACTAGGATTGACAACATTAATTCTTGTTTCAGTTTTTGGGACCTGAGAGTTTCATAACATTGTAAAGGTTATCCATATGCTTGTAAAACCATTTGTTTACAACCTTAAGGAATCATATTAAAATATTTAGCATATAGACGTTGCATAACATTGTAAAGCCTATCTTTAATCTTATAGATTATAAAATTTGGGTTCGAATTTACGAACTTTTGCACCGTAATTACAATGTCAATGACTATGGCAATTGATGGATAAACGAATTGGCAATTGATGGGTACCGAATTGTCAATTAATGGGTATTGATTTGCCAATGGATAAGTATTGATTTGGCAATTGATATGAATCCATTTGGCAATTGGAGTGTAACATATTTTAATATTTAATAAACCTTTTCACCTTTTTACCTCTAATACCAGGTTTCCCAATTTTCCACACCAAAGGTGTAGATTAGTCCATATCCCACTAGTCTCAATCCAAGGGCACATATCCTTTTGTGTACCCATACACTAAAGGACTGTAGAATTTTCCATAATTAACCAGATAGACTGAGATTTCGTTGTCAACATGAATTTTCAGAATTGATATTATGATCTGAAGAATTAATTTTATAATTAAGTCAGCAAATTGACATCACTTACGTTTACAAAAGATGCACCAAATTTTCCATTAAATTTTTTGTTCAAATTGTTTATGAACTTTATCGTCAGATTGTTTAACTTTCTCCTAAATTTTTCACTAATGGTAGGTCCCAGAATTTGTGAACTTGACGCGGTCGCATAACACCACTTCTAATTTGAATTAATCTTAATTTTCAGCAAAATTACGAATTTGGCCTTAATCTAACAGAAAAGTGGATGGCGTTCTTAAGAATCTGACTGTAGGCCCTCAATTGGAAGAAGATCAGCTAAGGCATCATCACAAAAGAAACTTTACAATCTCATTCAAGATGGCTATTGACCAGTTTAGCCTGTAGAAGTCCTAGCTTCGTACCGATGGCTTCTAGTTCCAAAACCATCGCATACGTTATAGTATACTAATGGAACGTGCTACTCAAACATTCCTTGAGTCCACTCTTGTTACCCAAAAAAAATATAAAATAAAAAAATCCTTGAGTTGTTACGAATAACAAATCAGTAGCAGCATGACCAGAATACAGACATGCCTCAGCATTTAGATTAAAACAATCTAGACTAGGTGGTTTCCATACAATTCTTGTACAAGAAGATTGTTATTGTTTTTTCGCACCAGTTCAACTATTTTTTTTTTCCAAAATAAAAGGGAGCTAAAGAGGACCAATAAGAACAAATCCAATGTACTAAATTTATATTAACTAAGGTGGGGAACGTAAGAATGTGCCTTACCTGTTGAGAAAAAGTACAATCACGAAAAGTTAGGAGAGACTTTCTGGATCAGTATTACCGATCGAAGACCCAGAATAGACTGATGACGAGCAAACGTGCCCAATTTTTAAGTTTTTTCCGAAGGAATGACGATGCAAAACCTAGATTTTATCATTTCAGGAGGAAACTTAAGTTTCCAAATATTATAGAAATAAGAGGCTAAGGGCACTGCATTCATGCTTGTTTACGAGACGAAGGAAAAGATAGAACATCTGTAACAAGGGCAAGAAATACAAGTACGAACACAACTCATAATTCATATAATGTAATGTACTTGCTGTGGTATAAGTGTATTAAAAGATGCATTTACAAACAAGTAGTCATTTGTGTGTAGACAGTGCAAACAATGCCAGTTTTGAAGTACCTGGAACATCAACAAGACAATTTCCAATAAACACAAGTGACTCGGTTAGCTGCTACAGTACAATGAAGCTTCACGTCTCATTCAAGGATCAAATTCATCTCTCACTCTTTTAGGTGGACTTCGAAGCTTTGTCCAGGATGTCAAAAACACTTTGTAGAGTCATCTCCTCCACAATAACAACCTTGTCTCTTGATTTGGAGCCAGAACCAATAGAAACCTGCCTTATTTTTACCCCTAAAACCTGTAAGTTGGGAAGAATGAGAATTTGAAGTTTCCAATCATAAACATTAATGGTTGAGTAGACCAAATAAACTGAGGGGTTAAGACCTCAAAACAAAATTGATAAATTTGGTGCATGCAACTCAAAACCATTTGGCAATGGGTGTAGAGGCCTTAGGATTTCTATAGTAAGATGCACGGCTTAGAATGCCCAATATGAAACTTTATATTCTTGCTGAAATAGTGTTAGAAAACTATGCTACATTTCACTCATAATAATACAAATTAGACCCTCAAAAGTATAGGCCTCATTCTGTACCCATCATTTAAAGTGAAATTAATCTTCCCTTCGAACTTTCTCAAGAGTCTGTTCTGTCACAAATCCTTTGCCAACCCTGCCACAAAGTTACTGTGCCACCTTATCTTGCCAACTTATAAACAAATGACGGGTACAGAAGTATATTTTCATGTATATGTGTGTGCACATGCATTGTTGTACTATCCAAAAGGAGTATCCAAATTGGCCGTACTTACCTTAACATTGTTATACCATTGGGAATTGAGATTGTGTTTTGTGTGGATTAAAATCATCTAGTAAAACCTGAACATTGTTATACCATTGGGAAAAGTATATATGCATGCTTATTAAGTATAGTTGGACATGCATATGCACACTCTCTCACTCACTCCTCTCTAACGCCACTAGGTCGCTACCTGACTGATGTGCGTATGATACTGCTTACAGGTTCCTATTTCAAACATAGCCATATATTCTCGTGAAAATGGAGGCTGAATGAGAATGGACAAAGCTAGATGAGAATGTGGGCAGGAAACATGTCTGTATGTATATGTCTCTCTCTCTCCCTCTCTCCCTCTCTCCTTCTCTATACATAGATATTATTCGCATTAAAAAAATTATGTATATATAGTATTTAGTCTCTCCCTAACGTATTCTGGGTGGGTACTGCTGAGTTGATGTTTATACGAGTGGGCCATAATTTTTATATACACAAATTAAATAAATACAAGAAAATAAATTAGTTATATAAGACATTTTAAGTTATTTCTAGACATAGAAATAAGCTTGAAAAATATAATTGGGATATAATAATATGTCAACATCACCTAGTCAGGGGTTCGATCCCTGCTCTCGTATGGAGTCACCACTTTGGCCAGCACTTTACCCCTTACGGGCCGACCCGGTGTGAGCGGGGATTAGTCTGGGTTGTGGTTAAGGCTTAAAGGTGCCACCCATAGTTGGGGCCCAGCCAGGACCACCTCGTGGTTCAAACCAAAAAAAAAAAAAAAGAAGCAAGACCAACCAAGCTGATGTAGTCAAGTAGCGCTGCATTAGCTTTCCCGTCCTTTGCAGGCGCGTCTATTTGCACCCCCAACGCCTCATCACTGAAATCTTCTTTTCAAAAATATAGAAAATTATATTCTATAAATACACAGACCTATACATATAAAAATAGAGAGAGAAAGAGAAGGACCAGTGATGGAGGCGATTTTGGAGCCAGGCTTGGTGTGGATGGTGATGGCGACTGAGGAGGGAGGTATGTACCGAGTAGAGGTTGGGAAATTGTTGTTGGGGTCTTAAAGCATCACTTCCCCAATTTTAGTTAACATAAGCAATCACAATGAATGTCAGGATCTTTCAAGAACCACACAATCTTCTTAAGACACAACA